GTACAGTATAAAAACAAATCAGTACATTACTGCAAGAATAAAGTTTTTATTTTTTTTAATCAAATTTTATTTCGATAATTTACAGATATGAAAGTGAACTAAATGCGAAACTGTAACTATTCATGCAATAAATAACCTAAGCAAATTTTCTTAAAGATTGCAGTAATTTTTTTTTTGAATACGATTACTTGCAGCTTTCTTTGGGGTCGTCCATTAATTACGTATACAATGAGGAGAATTATCTATGTGGACTTTTTTAGTGGTATTAGTGCATGCGAATTTGTTTATATAATCCAGATTACATGAGTCATATGAATAAACTATATTAGAAAATATTTTCAGAATTTTAAAAAGTCATTTCTTCTATATTAGATGGTCCATGAACGTAATTAAAGAGGAGGGATTTGTCAAAAGTACACAACAGTGAAGGAGATGATCAAAACGGCTCAAAAATTGTACACGTAATTAATGGACGGGCCCTTTTCAATCATCCGATCTCGTAAAATGTGTTATTGTCAGTAAAATTTTCTTTTAAATGTTTTATTACCGTGCTTAAACGAAACAGTGCATCTTTATAAAAAACAATGTTTGTCGATTCTTGAACATTTTCCGTTTCGTCTTCATCTTATTCAACCTCTTTATCTTCTTCCACTCGTTTTCTTTTTAACCACATGCCATATTTTAACAATCTCAGTAAATATCGTAGTGTAAAGAACACTGTCACTGTACGCCCTGGGCTGTTGATGTACCGTAAGATTGAAGATAGACACTTACAAATCCTCCATAGAATAATAGTACTCCCTTACGTAAACTGTTCTAAAAAACATACCAATACAGAACTCATTTAAACAAATTGTTCTGCCATATTGTCCTATGTTAACAACAGTCCCACTATACATAAAACAGGAGAGTGCTCTCTCAATTGAACTTTCCTTCTTCGATGCTTTGTTAAGTGGACACTATCGTACTTTAATAAATGATAATATAATTGTGTTAAAGGTTATTTTAATGTAATTTTACTTAAAAGTATAATTATTCAGAATTTATTTGCTCTATAAATAATTTATACAAAAATATGTCATAAACTCAATTACAGTTATGGCATGTTCCCCCCCCCCATTGGAAATAGATTCCGTT